AAATTGAATTTGATATTTTAACTTAAAATTTTAAAATTTTATGAATTGAGATGTATGCCTTCTAGTCTGATCGCAATGGCGCATTTCAAAGTTTGTAATAAATTAAATAAGAGAACGCGTGCACCGGCGGGGGCATTATGTAGAACTAGGGAATAGAATAAGGGTGAAGATGGTCCAAAACAGGTGGATTTTGGTGCATAAAATTAACATATGATGCAGTCCAGTTGGGTACAATACTAAATGAAAATGAATAATGTAAGGTGTTGCAATTAAACAAGGACGCTACATTCCGTATACTTGTATTTATTACATTGCCTCTTTTCTTATTTTTTTCCCTTTGTAGAATTTATAACACTTAGCTAAAAACTCACGAAAGGTATCATATAATTTATGACACCAACCTTGCATCTACCCCAAAAATATTTTATACTCCCTTATTCTCTGCCATATTTTACGGTTTAGTAGGATCCCACTTCAAAGGTCACACATTGAATTCATTCATTAAGAAACACGAGAAATGAGAGTTGGTAGGGCCACATCACATGAAGCAATGTGGGAAATTCACTTTGTGTAACATAATTTGTTGGGTTTCTGCGCCATTCTTCATGGACCTAACGAAACTCAATTGTTGAATCCAGATTTTTCTTTTGATGCAAACAATAAAAACGAAATGGGATGCAGAGAACCATTGTTGGACTTGGATCCATTGTTCACTGCTGCGCAAGTGCAGTTTGTGATTGTAAGGACATTGAAGGGGGTGAAGATGTAAGAAACCTTACATGGGTTGAAGATTCATGGTTTTCTGGGTGCTGATCCATTCTTCAAGACCTCCCCTTCAATATAAATGCTGTTGGCACGGGCAAATGTATCTCGTTCAAGCTTGCCTTCTATCAACTCCGGTGGCAGATCAGAGTGCAGATTCATGGGTTACCCTATCTTCCTCTTGTATTATGGCTGATGACACCCAGGATCCACATTCAGACTTTTCCAAGAACATTGTTCTTGACAATGTGTTCTCCATCATTGGTCCTCCCTTCCTTGCTCTCACAGCCTTTCTCTGGCCACAAAAATAGGTTTTGGATTTGCTGTTCTACTCTCTGGCTGCACTTCTGATGGGTATTGATTCATAACGATGTAATCATTCAGATTGCAGATAGAAAAATTGAATACAGAATAGATGGCAAGTGGAAATGACCTTTCTAAGTACTTTAGATAAACATGTGCCGTGGAGTAACAATTTCATTTCATTATTTCCTTATGGCAATTTACAAACTTCTCTTCACTGACTCTTAAGTACAGATTATACACTAATTAACTGGTAAAGCAAAATCCCTACTGGAGAGAATTATAAAATAAAATTAATACTACAGATATACCAATGATGACAGGAAAAGCCGTGACCAAGTACAGTGCTCCATAACCCTGCAAAAGAATTCACTCTGTTTGTAAAGATCTTACTAGTTAGCTAATGTTGAACCTGAATTTCAAAATGTTGGACTCTGAATCAATTCAAGAAATGCACTTTATTATTAACTGGCCACACCACATTATTCGTGCATACTTCAAAAAAATTTGATATAACTGTGAATGCATGATTTCAAATTAGTTGGCCATTTCAATCATAGTAACTTCGCAGATCTTTGAAATTTTCATATGACTAAAGCTTTTTACTTAAAACTGATTGTGTGTCAGTAATACCCAAGCACACCACATAGCAGATATCCAAACTTCCAAAACAGGACTAACACATAACCAGATGACTAACGAAGGAAATGCATTTTAGATTACTAAGGATTTTAGGAACAAACCACAGCAGAGGGAACTTCTGTTTCATCATTAACTTCAGCATCTTCAAATTCAGCTGCAGAATCCCAATCGATGTTCAGTCTCTTTGCAGCCTCTTTAGGATCAACACCAGTGTCTGTGGCTTTTGCATATAGGGAAGGGGCACGCTTTTGCTTTGGTGCTTCAACCTAGTCATGGAACACATCATGATTCTAAAAGTTAGGAGACTGAATCATAACATATAAGTTTAGTGGAGATCCCTGCATGAGCATCAATCAACAGTTGGCATGGATGAATGATGATGAAATTTATGCAAGAGGTTTTTCATTGCTTGAATGAGAAAAGCCATTACTTTTAAGGGACACAGAACATATGATGGATTTTGGAAAGTGCATGGAAACTTGTAATTGTGAAAACAATAGCATACAGATGAAAGCCAACATGAAAAAAAGACAGTGGTAATAGCCATATTATCCAGAATAGTCTCTTAAAAACCCAGTATGACATATGTTGAGAATCAGCACCAAGGTTACCTCTAAATTAGGCCAGTTGATCATCTCCCCAGCTAGAATTCTCAAAGCAACCCGATTTTCAGGGACCTTGCCTTCATTCACCTAGTATACCAAGAATCACACCATTAATCATGCAGTGACCACCATTAAAATGAGTGTGTATGGCATGTAAGATTGAGACCCACTTGTTCCAGTGCTTCAACAAGATCTTCCCTAGTAGGGGCATCAGGATCCTCGATGCCCAGCATTCTTCTCCTCTCTACTTCTCTCGGGTCCTCTATCATTACTGTCAATTTAACCTCACTGAACAGCATGTCTCGGTTTTTCCTCAAAAGTCCCAAAACCTAAACAAAAAATTTGTCTAAACTCAAACGATTCAAGAAAGTGCTAGCATGATAAAAAGGAAACATCAAAGATATACCCTTTGGATTTGGCGAATGTATTCGAAGTCTTCTGAGTCTGCTCCCTCCTGCTGGGTAGTGGTTGATGAAGCATCAGTGCGCACTTCCGTTTCTTCCTTTTCAACCCCAACAACTCCGGTAGCCCTTCTTCTCCTCCTCTGGTGAAGAGAGAGAGTGGAGAAACTGTTGAATTTGGCTGTCAAGGCCATTGATTTCCGAGGGGATAAGGTTACAGGACATGGGGTTGAAGACGAAGATGACGACGACGAAGACGCAAATGGGATTTGGGAAACTTGCAATGTCGCCATTAGAATACAGGTTGTGCTCGTATCGTGTTGGGTCGTGTGTTAAAGCATTCGGGTTTGCGGTTCCGATCGTCTTCTGCGTTCACAGCCACTAACAATATCTTCTGGTGGCTACCGGCGGGCGGCGGCTAACGTCATAGATGAGCCTTTATGTCTGGTGGGCCAAATTATGCTCATAACAGGCCTTGGGTTCTCTCCCTCGTAGCTTGGCACAAGCCTGACTTATTTTCTGGCCCACAATTTTTTCCTTTTGTAATGCCAATAGTTTAGTTAAGTCCATTATTAACCAAAGCCCAAGTTTGCAATGGCTCTCATATTGTTTTCAACATCCATACTAATAATAATAACAATAATAATAATAATAATAATAATAATAATAATAATAATAGTAAATGAATGATAAGTTTTGCCGCTAATGGAGTATTATTCAAAATTTAAAATTTAAAATTAAGGATTTTAAATCAAAACTTGAGACAGGTGATAAAGATTAAGGGAAGGAAGGAAAGAGTTATTTCCTGATTTCTTTAAAATAAAATTTCTAATATCAGAAGCCATGAAAAGCAACTCATGACAAGTAGTAGCAAGGGGTATTTGTTTTTTTTTTTTTTTTTTTTTAGTAGTAGTAGCCATTTTCAAATGGGCCACCCTATCTCTTAAAAGTTTTGGGTGAATATGGTGCATTTGGTCCGCAAAATAAGCTTAAAAAAGGAAAACAACTTGTTTTTTCAAAGAGGAAGTTTTTTTTTTTTGGAAGTAGGACATTCCAAGCCACCCAGAACCTTGGGTTGCTTTCGAGCTACTTCAGACTATCTAAATTGCATCCCTGATC